CTCATAACAGATTTTAAATAAAACATTTCAGATTTAGCTCTTGTCATAAAATTAATTTTTTAGCTTGTAGAATAGAATACATTCTATTCTAGGAATTAAGATTAATTTCTGGAAATGCATAGCATTTCTTTCTATTTCTAGAAAATGCAGAGGCTGTCTAAAAGTGGAATTGTTGGCTCTGGGGTGTAAAAACCAATATGAATGCATGCCTGTATAACTAAGATGAAATACTCAGAAACAAGTGTGCTTTCGACCAGAAGCCAGGAGAAATAGTGACAATGTACTGCCTACTGTGGAGAGTAAGCAGGAGATAACCAAGTCAGTCCAAATGATCCAGGCCCATATTGGGTAAGTCAGCCCATGTGGGTGGCCAAACATGCAGTAACTGAAGGTGGGTGACTCTAAACCCAAGTTGTTCTTTAAATAGACACAAACCAGACCCAGGCAGAAACAGCTCTTTGGCAAACAAGATTGTTGCTAAGTTGATTTTCATTTTTCCTTTGGCTCAGACAGCATTAGGATTTTAAATATGTGCTGGGAAACGGAAACAGTGCACTGAAGCCACTGGAAAATTCCCAAGCCTGCAGTGCTGAGGTCGATCCACACAGCCGCAGTGCTGAGGCCGATCCCCGCTGCTGCAGTGCTGAGGCCGATCCACGCCGCTTTCCTGCTGTGCTGTGTTCATCCAGATGTGAGCACCCGAAAGTGAGGGGCACGTGCATGGTGTGGATGGTTCATAGGTGTGGTGCACATACATAGTCTACATGAGTGGTTCACAGGCCCGGGGCACATGCGTAGTGCCCAGGTGTGCACATGGGTGCTTCACAGTCCTGGTGCATATGCAGGGTCGCTTTCAGGGCCACATTCACTTGATGACCTGAGTGGGGAAATAAAAACATTAAAATGCATGTTGTGATGTGGAATGCAAGATGTACTTAAGAGAAAAAGTTTAAGAATCCTTGCTATGTGGAATACTAAAGGAACTTAAGGGCTTTAAAATAGATAGTATCTTCAGTCCTGGTAAACTGAAATTATTGTGTTAGCTATTTCTATTTAAATTCTCCCAATTAAAAATTCTATAAAGCCCATTTTATAGTAATTTTATAGATATAAAAAGCAAAAAAAAAAATAGTACTGAGTTCAGTTCGGTTCTTAATCCACATTTGGAACAGAGTTAAATAAACCACATTATAGGAAATGAGGAGTTCAGTTTGCGTTACCAAAGAAAATTATAAATACTATCAAAGAGCAAGTTGTTATAAATGCGTGGTTAATCATTTGCAAGCTGCTGGTTGTATTCTTGTGCTATTTAAAAAGCTCATAGATGGTATATTTTGCTTGGTCATTAAAGAAATACCATTTAACACTCATTGTGACATTTGCTGACCTAGTTTAAACACTAATGATTAATCCTCTGAGTCAGAAGCATTTCTTTTATTTTCTTTCTTTTCTTCATAATATATATAATAAGTATATATAATTAAATAATAAA